GGGGGGGGGGGGTTGTCTCTGCCTTGGAAGTTTATTTGGGATTTTGCAAAAGATATGATATGACTTCAGCCCGCTCATCATTACAGTTCATGCTAGGTTTCGGGGTCTCAGGTCCTAAACGTGTACAGAGGGAGGTTGGCGGGCCTGGTTCTTTAGCTGGCATCCGAAGAACACAGGCCACTGGCCAGTGATGTTCGGTGAAGCGCTCTCCCACGTATCCTTTCATTTCGGCCTCGCAGCGGCTCCCCGTGCGTGGACAGGATTTTTCGCGAGAACCTGAGCTCCAGAGAGGTCATTTGACTTGTCCAATATGTATTCACTCGATGATTTCTTTCTATCACTATGGGTTCGTGGGCATTTCTTTCATTCTAGGGGAAACCAGGCTCTTTCTGGCTGAGGACACAGTCTGAGGCAGGATGTGATCCCTCCCTCTCGTGACGCCAAGGGCTGTGGGGAGAGGGGCGTAGGTCTCCTATGTGTGACCCCAAAAGGCAGGACTACGACCCACGCGCGGAGGCCATGGGAGGAGGTCTCTCTTGGCCAGATTTAAGAAAATTTGTTTTCAATGAATAATTCTGTCCATTTCTGGCCCAGGGCGGAGGTGTGACCCAACGCCCGCTGACATCGGACCTCCTGCTAAGAGTGAAGCCGAACCTCTGTGTCCTGTCCCCGCAGGCTGGAGAGCAACTGCAACTTCGATTACATCGAGGTGTTCGACGGCCCCTACCACAGCTCCCCTCTCCTCGCCCGGCTCTGCCACGGGGCCAGGGACTCCTTCACCTCTTCGTCCAACTTTATGACCGTCCGCTTCGCCAGCGATGGCAGTGTCACCAGCAGGGGCTTCCGAGCGGAGTACTACGCCAGTCCTTCCAACGACAGCACCAGTAAGGCCCCAGCTCGGCGGGGGGGGGGCGCCCCTGAGAGCCTCTGCTCCGCGGCCACCCGCTGCTGGTGGTGGGACGAGAGACTAGAGCCGCCTCGGCGGGTCACCGAGGCCCGATCGGCTGCTGAGAGGGACCCAGGGCGGTGGGTCTTGGGCCTCTGGCTGCCCAGAAATGAGATCAGGGGCCAGAACTGGCTGACGGGCGGTGTACTGAGCTCCTTGCGGGCGGCAGAGGCCGCGTAGAAGGTGGGAGACAATGCATTAGGCAGATAGTGAGACGTCAGTGCCAAGGGCAGGAGTGACCCCTGGCTGGAGGCCTGGTGACCATTCCAGAGCATGGGACACTGTGACCGTGTCCTGAGACCTGGCCCATTTGCCTGCTGCCTGAAAATCACCGGTCACTCCGCCACGTCCTGCAGAGGCGAGCGGTCACTATCTAAGCTGTTAAATGGACTAGTTTCCAGACTGGCCGGGGCCTGGGCTCTGACCTGCTCAGCAGCTAAAGGACCTCATTGCACCACGCACGTCCCCACAATTCAGCCGGAGCGTCCCTTTACTTTACGGCCCACGGTAACTTGGCAGAACATTTCGCTAGTTCCCTTCCAGGCCCGTGGGGCACCTCGGGGTGGTGAGCACACCACCACCTTTGTCAGCCATCTCGATCCCTGCACCTGTGGGCGGGAGGAGCTCCTGCTGGGACTTGCTGGGCCTCGGGGCTGGCTGACCTCCCTGTCTGCCCTTGGCCGCCAGAGCTGCTCTGTCTGCGGGACCAGATGCAAGCGAAGGTGAGCAGGGGCTACCTGCAGTCCCTGGGCTACTCGGCCTGGGACCTCATCATTCCCAACTGGAGCGGAGTCGACCAGTGCAAGCCCCAGATAACGTCGAGCGAGGTCACATTCACCATCCCCTACTCGGGCTGTGGCACCACCCAGCAGGTGAGCCTGGGCCTCCTTCCATGTGATCTCCTGCAGGGCAACCTTTCTCACTGTGCTGTGTGCCCTGTGTCTTGAATTCTGGGGACCCAGAAGACACGATTGTGTCGGTGTAACCAGAACGTGACCGGGCGAAGGTATCAATCCGGTCAGAGGCGGCGGTGGGTGGGTCTGTGGGCGGTTTCCCCAGCACCGTCCACACAGACCGGGCCTGGCCGGCTGCCACGGGGACAGTCACGGCAGGAGCAGCCTCCAGGGGACAGCTCCACGTTTCGTGGGGCCTGAAGCTTATGCGCTTTGGGGTTGGGGTTGGTATGGGTGAGAGGGGCGGGCACCTCAATACATGGAAGAAAGCAAACATACCTCACTCCGCCCTCTTTTACGCAGTCAGATTGCCTTACGTGTTAGGATCTCCATTCGGCCGCTCTGGCGTGATTTTTGTGCTCTGTCTTGCAAAACCGCCCACGGCTTGCGGGAGCTCGCACCTGGCTAGAAGTCTGCTTTTGACCATCACAGCATTTTTTTAAAAATGTTTTTTTATTGATTTCAGAGAGAGGAAGGGAGAGGGAGAGGGAGAGAGTCATTGGTCGGCTGCCTCCTGCACGCCCCCTGCTGGGGATCGAGCCTGCAACCCAGGCACGTGCTCTGACCGGGAATCGAACCGTGACCTCCAGGTTCATAGGTCGATGCTCAACCGCTGAGCCACGCCGGCCGGGCCATCGCAGCATTTGGGAAGGGTCGCGTGCCCCCGGTCCAGACCTGGCCCTGCCTGGCTTGCGCTCACCTCACTTAGGGCTAGGTGATCATGCCCGTGGAGCTTCCAGGGGGCCTTTTTCCCATGTCCCCTTGGCCGTTCGGCTCTTGCCCCCCCTCCGCCACAGCGCTTTTGCTTGGCTCCCAGCCCGCCCGTCATTCACTCCGCGGGTGTTTACCGAAGTGCTGATGTTCTCATGGACAGTAACCAGCCCCGGGGAGAGAAAGCTCCTTTGCTTGAGATGCTCACAGGCCCCCAGGCGCAAGGGCCTCGTCCCCAGAAGGGTCACGTTTACAAGATGACAGGCACATCAAATGGTGTCCGAGACCAACATTCCTGCCCGATGAAGCCACAGTCAGAAACAACGCTGTGGTGCAGGCAGGGAGAAGGCAGAGCGTGAGAGGACGTGCTCCCCGTCACCATGCCCCTGGCTGCCCGCCTGCCTTCTGGGGAGGACCCAACCCCGAGGTCAGAGTCCTGCTGCAGCTGTGACTCCACTGTGTCACCCGGCTCCGCCCCGGCGCCCCTGGCTCCGCAGGCTGCAGTAGCTGCTGACGCATCCAGGCAGCGCACTGCACTCTGACGCCAGCAGCCCCTCCCACGGGCACCCGAGGGACCCCCTGGTGTCTCCCAGCATCAGTGAGAATGAAACGGAACGAGACAGGAGGGCCCTGGGCCCTGAGGCCAGGCGGCTGAGCCACACGGCAGGGACGGGATCGTCCAGACGCGCGCCTCCCCCCACGAGGAGCAGGCCCCAGGAGGCCCCGGCACCCGGTCCTCGCTGTGGTCCCCCATCGTACGGTGGGACAGAGGGGGGGTGTGCAAGGAGGGAGCCTTGCTGTTAAGCAGTGTGCCCGGCCCACGTGACGGTAGCCGTGGCGGGAGGCACGCGCCACGTGTCTGGCTGAGGGAGGGGTTGAAGGCTTGTTGGGTCACATCCTTTGCATTCTAACCAAGATCAGCAGCGAGATCCTCTTGGCGGCTGACGTTTGCCCGACTCTGCCCCCCGCCTGCCTCTCCAGGTGGACAATGACACCATCACCTACTCCAACGTCCTCAAAGCGGCTGTGTCGAGCGGCGTCATCAAGAGGAAAAGGGACGTCTACATTCACGTCAGCTGCAAGATGCTCCAGGACTCCTGGGTCGACATGATGTACATCGCCAACAACACCCTCGAGGTCAAAGAGGTGCAGTACAGCCACTTCGACGTGAACATTTCCTTCTATACGTCGTCGTCCTTCTTGTATCCCGTGACCAGCAGCCCATACTACGTGGACCTGGACCAGGATTTGTACGTTCAGGCCGAGATCCGCCACTCGGATGCTTCCTTGGCCTTGTTCGTGGACACCTGTGTGGCATCCCCGTATTCCAATGACTTCACGTCTTTGACCTATGACCTGATCCGGAGTGGGTAAGGAGGGTCTTCCTGGGGCGGACTTTCGCCGTTACCTGATAACCCAAACAGGAGGAGCCCGGGGCTCAAGGAGCGCAGATTCTGTTCCTAGTCGCTCAAGCTTAACCAGCCAGGTTATCATCTCTGGCTAACAGAGAGGGAGGTGGGCGTCGGATGAATTAAATGACCGAGAGGTTGGCTGTAAACTGGCATTAGGCCCCAGGTGACCGTACGCCAGGTGAGCCTTGGTGCTGAAGGGACGTGGGTGTCGTGGGAAAAGCACTGATTTGGAAGCAGGTGGAGGCTGAGGTGCCAGCTCTGCCACATGCGAGCCGTGTCGCTCCGGGTGGGCAGGCACAGCTCTCTGAGCCATTTCTTCACCCACCAGAGATGAGCGTGGCGATGCCCACATCACAGGCTGTTGGGAGGGTGGAAGGAGAAAGAGCAGGTGGGGATTTGGGCAAATAAAATGCGCAGCGGGTGCCAAACGTTGACCTAAAGCTGCCGAGAATGGACGTAACCAGAGTCCATGGTTCCAACCAAGCTCAGAGACGCAGAGGGGAGGCCAGGGGTGCCCGCTGACGGCCAGAGGTGCTGGGCTGGGCTGTTCTACCATCATCTTGTTTTCCTGGATGACAGGGCTCAGGCGAGGTGGGGTTCACCCTTTCTAAGCTCACTGTGGGGGTCCAGGGACACCGGGCAGGCAACTCCAATCGCCACGCTTTCGTCTCTGTCCATCGGTGCTCACGTCATTTCGTTGGACTATAATTTGACCCGGGCACCGCAGTAACAATCGCCTGCCACGGACGCTGTACTGACAGGGTTGGGCGATCTGCTAGGGATCGGGGCCAGGAGGCTGAATTGCAAAACTCCCTGAGATACTAGAACTGCATCTCTTCCTGGGCAGGATTTTCATGAGTCTGTTTGCTGAGTAGGTGTTGAGACCCGTCTTATTCACGGTCTACGCAGTGGCTTCGGTTCACGGCAGCCGCCTTGGCTGCAAAGATGGGGGAGAAGCTCCCCCAGGTCCTCTTTTTACAAATAGTAACAAATGACACCTGAATTTATGTCAGATGATTGAGATTAATGCAAATGATTTGGTTCTAAGGACTCTTTCTGGTCACATCCGGGCACATATGTGCCTATAAGGTGATGCCGCTTTCTGGGGAGGGAGCATGTGTGTCAGAGAGGCCACGTGTCCCAACTGTCCCTGGAGCACAGGGGCTCATGGACTACACCTGGCCACAGACCAAACCGCCCACCTGGAAGCCCATTAGAATTGCCCTAAGCTTCAAGCACCTGGAGGGTTCTCGGAGCAGGCTGAGGTGGGTCAGGAGACACAGCCCAGGAAAGAGATGAAAGGCCACCTTCCTTCCTGTCCTCTCTCTGGGTCCTGCCCCTCCCTCCCTCACCTGGGTCACCTGGGGCCATGGTGCACACGGTCATTGAGCATGGTGGGGACAGCTTGTCAGCATGGAAGCCCCGGGCTGACCGGCTGCTTTAAGATGCTGCGGACGTCCCCGAGCTCCCAGGATCTCCCTGCAGGGCTGGCGGTCAGTGCCCAAACCACCCGTTCCGAAGGCAGGCAGGCGGGGCACGGCGGGGGCGGCCGGAGGCGTGGGGCCCGGATGGGCGCCTCCTGCATCCAAGTCAGGAAGGATGAGCGTGCGGGAGCGGGGAGCGGGACCGGGGAGTGGGGAGCGGGACCGGGAGCGGGGCGCCTTCACAGGTGACCGTCCTCTCCCCGCAGGTGCACGAGGGACGAAACCTACCAGCCCTACCACCCGCCCTCGCCCCGCTTCGCCCGCTTCAAGTTCAGCTCCTTCCACTTCCTGAACCGCTTCCCGTCTGTGTACCTGCACTGCAAGGTGGTGGTGTGCGGGGCCCACGACCCCGCCTCCCGCTGCCGCAGGGGCTGCGTGAGGAGGCCCAAGAGGAACGTGGGCTCCTACCAGGAGAAGGTGGACGTCGTCCTGGGGCCCATCCAGCTGCAGGCCCCGCGCGCCTAGAGGAGGAGCCTGGGTAGGTGGCCGCTCTCGCGCCCCCACCTGTCCTCACCCCCCCCACCGGGGCCCAGGCCCGTGACCCAGGGACGCGGGACGTTTCTGTTGGTGTGATGGTCCACCTTGAACTGGGCATCCCCTGCGTGCCCGCATGCTGTGCCGGGCCGGGCGGCACAGATTCAGCGAGACCTCCGGCCGCCCGCTTCCGAGGGCCCCTGGTTCGTGAGGGACGCCCGGGTGGGATTCGCCGCAGGGAGCTCTGAGCTGGGGCGCAGACACACCCGGCGCCTCTCAAGGCCGGGCCTGGCCTCCCCTGCGCCTCACACTCCGCGTCGGTCAGGCGCACTGTCCGTAGCACCTCCTAGGACCGAAGAGAGAACCACATAAAGTAACGTGGGTTAAGCCGCCTGGGCCTCTGGCTGGGACAGGTCGCTGAGCGTGAGGAACGGTGGGTTTCGCTGGTGGTGTCACTGTCACCGATACTAACGGCGTTAATGGCGACACGGTCGCTCCTGACGCTAGCACCCCAACTGCAGTCCCAGGGAGAGGACGGCGGGGTCAGGCCGGGCCGCGGCCGCGGGCGGGACGCGTTTGTTCTGCCTGCTCTCGGCCCGCACGGCGCGAGCTCTCACGTTCTCCGTGTGGAACGTGGCCCGCGTGCCCTGCCGTGGGCTTGGCTGTGCATGTGGACAAGGAAATGTCTGCAGCGGCTCCCAGGGCCTGTGGCCCGGGCGGGGCCAGGTCCTCAGATGTGTGGCCCTGGAGACGGGGCAGCCGTGGGCTAGCAGGGGCCGTCACACCCCATCCCCTCGGCCACAGGGCCCCACCCCGGGAGCGCCTTTGGGGGCTCTCTCCTCCAGGCCGTCCCCACGTCTGGCTGATTCCAGCTCTTTCCGTACTTGCTCATTCATAGTCTACTGAAGGCCGACTATGTGCCAGGAGACAAATAACTAGAAACAGAAACAGACCCAAACCCTTGCCCCTGAAAAGCTCACCTTCCCACGGGAGAGGACAGCCCAGGGCACCTCCGATGGGCGTCGGAGCTGTGGAGGGGACCGCAGGGCGGGGTGATGGTGCAGGGGGCCCTCGGGGACCCTGCTCCCTCCTCTCCTCTGCCTTCCCTTCTCACGGGTGCCGCAGTAGCTGGGAGCCTGGGTACCCCTTGCCCGGGACTCAGGTACCCGTTTCCCAGTTGGTCTCAAATACCCCGACTCTCTTCCCTCCATCCGCCAGGAGCCTCCCGCCAGCTTTGAGCACCCAAAGCCCCGCTCTGACCTCCAGCTCAAAAGCCTCCCCTGGCTCCCGGGCTGACCAGACACAGCGGCTCCCTCCCCTCGCTCAGCTGCCCTTCGGTGTCTGGCCTCAGTTTCCCCTGTGGCACGTCCCTCTCTCACTCCTTTTTCCCTCCCACCAGACAGGCGGTTCCGACGGCATCTCCCTGCCCGGGGCCCGCAGCCCGCCTCGCCTCCTCTCCGTCTCGGCCGGCTCATCCTCCCGATGCTCTCCCCCTCCCACCCTGCCGGAGCTGGCGCGGAGGGGCCCGCCAGTGCCCAGGGGAGCCACCGCACGCTGCCGTCTCCTCCGGGCTCTTCCTGGCTGTGGTCCCGGCCGGGTGGCCCTCACCCTGGGGAGGAGCCCCTGGGCCACCCATGGCGGCCTCTGAGCCCTTCAGTGTGACATGGGAAAGCACAGGACAGAGCTCGGACCCTGGCCCGCGGGCTCGCTGATTCCAGCTCTTTCCGTACTTGCTCATTCACTCCACGCCTGTCTGCTGAAGGCCTACTGTGTGCCAGGAGATAAATAACTAGAAAGAGAAACAGATCCAAAGCCTCGCCCCTAAAAGGCTTACATTCCTACAGGAGACGACAGTGCAGGGCACCTCTGTGGTGCCCTGGGACCCACGTGGAAAAGGAAGACACCCGTGCCCCGAGCTCAGTGCCCAGCAGCACCTGAGCTCTGTTGGCTCCGGCCCAGGCACATGGTGGGGTGGCTGGAGATGGGGGGGTGGAGAGTTAGGGGTAGGTTTTCTTAAAACCAGGCTGGGTGCTGGGACGGATGCCAGGCGGCAGGTGCCAGTGTCTGGAACCCTGCGCCGGCTGTGAGCTGCGGGCTTTCTCCAGGGGATGACTCTTCTAACCTTTTATAAACTCGATCCTCAGGCTGCATCTTAAACTCCCGATTTGTAGGATAAGTTGAATAAAGAATGTTTTTCAAAGCAAGTGTCGGTTTGGTCATCGTGGTGACTCACTGATCCCCTGGGTCCCTTCAAACTGAGCTCAGCAGGGTGGGTGCCCTGCGGCTTCCAGGACCTTCTCGAGAATGGATAAGGTGCCCTCCTTTGCCCTTGGCATGTGTGGTTCTGCCCATAGCAGGAGATGCAGGGCGAAGGCTGGAGAAAGACCAGGATGTTAACACCACCACGGTCTCCAGTGTCTGTGACTTAAGTGAAAGTTGCCTCTGTTTCTCCAGGACTCTGTTCCTTCTGGTTTTTTGTTGTTGTTTCTAAATTTTAAACATGTTTTTATTGATTTTAGAGAGAGAGGAAGGGAGAGAGAGAAACATCAATGATGACAGAGAAACATTGACCGGCTGCCTCCTACATGGCCCCGACTGGGGATCAAGCCCGCAACCCGGGCCTGCGCCCTGACGGGGAATCGAACCGTGACCTCCCGGTGCCCCTGATGATGCCCAACCGCTGGGCAACACTGGCCAGGCTGTATCCTCTGTGTTTTCACATCATATCCAGAACTGTGGGTGAGGCAGGTTCTGGGGAAGAGAGCCCCCTCCTCAGTGCCCGAGGGTCTCTGGTGCGTTGGGCAAGGGCACCCGGAGTCCTATTCACATGTGGTCCTGAGGGAGGAATGGATTGACGGGTGACCCCCGGATCTCAGAAGAAACAAAGCAATGGGGTGCTTTCCAAAAAGGCAGTGAGTTTGCAAAAAAAGGGAGAGAAGCCAGCCCCTGGGCTGCTCGATCAGGCTGGGTAAGGAGGGAAGTTTCCCCAGACTGCCCTGGGAACGCGAACATTGGCCCTTCCGAGCCCGACCGAGGCCCAGTGCCCGGGAAAGGACTGCTAAGACCAGCCTGACTCCAGAGGGGTGATTCGAGCAGGGTGAGACCCGGCAAGACAGCAGCTGCAGGGCCCGCAGGACAAGGGGGGGCATTTTGGATGTAGGTGGTGGATGGTTGGGGTGAAATGGAAGGAGCTGAGGTAGACCCCTCCCCATAAAGCTGCAGCAACGTGTCCTGGCTGGAGTGGCTCAGTGGTTAGAGCATCGGCTCACATGGAACGGTTGTGGGTTCGATTCCCAGTCGAGGGCACCGTAGCTGGGTTGCAGGTTCAGTCCCGGGCCTGGTCAGGGCCTGTGTGGGAGGCAACCAGTGTGTCTCTCTCACATCAGTGTTTCTCCCTCCCTCCCTCCCTCCTACTCTCTCTAAAGATCAATGGGAAAAATATCCTCCAGTGAAGATTCATAAAAAAAAATAATTAAAAAAAAAATAAAGGCACAAGGCTTTCTGCCCTGGTCACTTCCTCCGGGTCCTCATTTACTTGTGAAGACCCCCATGGACACGTAAAAACACTCAGTACAGTATGTATGCTTTTCTCCTGTCAGTGTCTTACATCAGTTTAATTCTTAGGCCCAGCCAAAGAGCCCGAGAGGGCAGAGGGAAACTTTCCTCCCCTACACCCCCATCGTAACGAAGGAAACAGCGCTTCAGGCTGCAAGACGGTTAATCACCCGGGAGGCAGGTGCTTTGAGAACCAGCTCCCCTTGCGTCTGTATAAGGTTTACACTGTCCAAGGAGTTTCACGGTCCTGTCGCTCTCGCAAAGGCCCTGCTGGGAAGTTACTTTAATAGATTTTCTGATTTTGACTTATCTTTTTATCCTTGGGATAAGTCTTTTGTTTTGAAGAATATATTTTACACCTTTAAACTCAATTTTCTACAATTCTATTCCATCCCATTTTATCTTATGTTGGATCTATGTCCATGAGTTAGTGCCCCGAGCTCTCCTTTCCTGTCCTGTCCTCCCCCGTTACTCATAGCAGGTTATGGCCATCCCGGACCATTCTGAATCTGTGAAACGAGCTGAGTAGCCTCTTCACTTCCTCTACGATATTTTGAATTAGATTTTTAAAAAATCATTGGAGACAGAGATATTTACTTGTACAACTATCTGGAACTACAGCCTTTGGAGCAGAAAACTTGATTATTCCATTTTTTTTTTAGGCAAACAATAAATACAGAATCAAAGAATAATGAATGGATGAGTAGATAAAAGACTTATTTTTTAAAAATCTGTGTCCTTACTCTTGTTTTCTTAAACCCATTTTTAGAGCAGTTTTAGGCTCGTAGCAAAAGCGAGAGCAAGGTGCAGAGGGTTCCCACGTACCCCGTGCCCCGCGGGCTCAGCCTCCCCTCTGTCAGCGTCACCACCCGATGGCGCGTTTACTCCAGGCAGCGGCTGTGCCGATGCTGACCGGGCACGGCCTGCCAGGAGGAGTGCATGCCAGGGGGCGAGCCGTGGGCCTCCACGAGCGGGCTGGACTTGGCTGGTGCATTGGGGTGCTTCTCTGGATTTACACTTTTTGTGCTTAATCTGCCAGGTGTAAACGACCAGAGAATACGAAAGAAAAAGAGGGATGTGGTTTGGGCATCACTTCACCTCTACAGGAATTCAGAGAATTTCACTGAAAATGAAGCCTTTTGAACTTTCTGGGTCTATTTCATGTGAAGAACCCTGAGTTCGTACCAAAGATGGGTGATAATTACGTTGCTGTCGAGGTCCGTTTTTGCAAACTGGGTATGAAGCTGCAGCTGTGGGTAGCAATACATGGGCTGTTGTTCGAGCCGCGGCGCAGTCTCCAGGGTTTGATTTTCGAAAGACCAGTCAGTAAAGTTTAAGGTCAGTGAGAATCATTTTATGTAGACCTTTAGGATGGGTGTTTTCCAAGCTCTATAATTTTTATTTTCCCCCCCTGATTATTCCCCATATTTATTGAGTTGGATTTTTGGACAACTTTAAAAAAAAAGTTTTTTTTATTGATTTCAGAGAGAGGAAGGGAGAGGGAGAGAGAGAGAGAGAAACATCAATGATGAGAGTCATTGATCGGCTGCCTCCTGCACGCCCCCTGCTGGGGACTGACCCCGAAACCCGGGCCTGTGCCCTGACCAGGATCAAACCGTGACCTCCTGGTTCGTAGGTGGGTGCTCACCCTCTGAGCCGCAGCGGCTGGGCTCAGGCAGCTTTGACTGGCCTTTGGAGGTTTGGGTGATGCACTAAATGTAGTAGCTGACATGAACATTGTAGGGAAGCAAACGTTTTCTGTGATCTTCTCAGGATCCCTGGAAACATCTATGAAACAAACAAAAAAACCCCCACAAAGGTGAATGGTTAGAACAAACTATAAACTAAGTTTTTGAGTCCAGAGGATGGTCAGACGTTAGGCTCCAAGTATCTTCAGATGGAGTGTGGTCAGGGGCCAGCAGGCAACCTGGCAGGTTTTCCTGGTTTGCAGTTTGAGTGTCTCTGGGAATATCGCCAGGTGTTCTGGTGACCTCTCTGGGTGGCCCATAGAGCGATAGGTACAAATAGGAGCCATTTCTCTAAAGTTTAGATCAAGTTGTCCAGCTTTAGCTTGCAGGTCTCAAGACAAGGCAGCTTGAGTTCTCAGTAATTTCCAATAAGAAGGGCCCCCTCTGGGCTGAAGGCTGGTTCCAGCTCCGGACACTCTGGATTGACTGCAGTCACCGCCCCCACAGTACCTGCCTCCCTGTGTCCATTCCCTTTGCAGTGTGACTTTGCAATTTCTCCCATGAAGAGATGAAGTCCACCCTGGCTGGGCAGTTCAGCTGGTTGGAGCGTTCTCCTGATACATGAGGGTTTCAGGTTCGATCCCTGGTCAGGGCACGTGCAAGAATCAACCAATAAATGCACAAATGGATGGAGCAATGGATTGGTGTCTCTCCCTCCCTCTCCCTCCCTCTCCCCCTTTCTCTCTCCCTTCCTCTCTCTCTCTCTCTCTCTCTCAAGTCAATATACTTAGAGAGAGATGAAGTCCACTTAGCCACCCTTGCATCTAGACTGGCCTTGTATCTTGTTTTGACCAACAGAATGTGGCAGGCACCGTGTGATGTGCCAGTTCTGAGCCTTGACTTCAAGGGTCCTTGCAAACTTCCACTTACTCTCTTGGATCCCGCAATGGGCCTGCGAGCACACCTGGGCTAACCTGCCGGAGGGAGGACACCTGGCCCAGTCACTGCCATTATCAAGCCCAGCAGGAGAGCCACCTCGCTGGACGCAGTTGACCGCAGGCACGTGAGGAGCCCAGCTGAGCCCAGGAGAACCGGCCAGCTGAGCCCCGTCTAGATTGCTGACCCACAGGGTGACGAGCTGAATTAATGGTCGGTGTTCTAAGCCAGTAGGTTTCAGAGCGACTCGTTCCAACGGATACAGGCCCCATGGGCGCAGCTGAGGAGGAGGGGCCTGCATCCTGGGAAGTAGGTGGGAGCCGAGAGCCAGGGGCTGCCTGAAACCAGGAAACCTTAGCAGGTAGGTCTCCCCTTGAGGACCCCGGAGAGACGGGTCCCAAAAGAAGAGGCCGGGGGAGGGGAGCACCTGGCAGGCGGAGCTGCAAGAGTAAAAAGGGCCAGGATGCTCAGCTCACGGGGAATAAATAAAACTTTAATAATGGTGGGAGGCAGGTTTGCCCGAGTGCTCTTTCCAGACGCCCCCCTCCCCCAGGCGGCCGGCCTCCGTCACATCCCTGGGGCAGACGCCGCGAGAGATCAAGTCCTGGTTCATCAGCATCAGGTCCCCCGGGAACTCGGCCAAGTGGAAAAGGCTTCGGTTGGTTAAGCCGGCGATGGACCGCTCGGCCTTCTTCGCGGAGAAGGGTGACTTCAGGTCATTGGGCTGGTTGGTTAAACGCTTTTTGGGTTCCTTGGACTTGAACGTTACGTTCATTTTTATTTCCTGTCTTTTCGTGCCCCTGCCCTCTGTCTCCTCTCGTGTGGCGTCGCCGTAGTCCCCTCTGTCCTCCCCCCGGCCTCCTGCCGCTGGGCCCAGGCCCCGTCCGGACGAGCCCCGGGGGTCCCGGAACCTTTCTCTGGGGAGCAGCTGGTGGTTCCTCAGGGCGCGCGCGAACTGCATGCGCTCCACGTGCTGGCCCACGGTGAGCCGCTCCCGCCGCGGCATCCGGAACTCCTCGGGGGACACCGTCACCTTGGCCGTCCAGATTTTCTCCCGGGGCCCGCAGGTGGGATGGGTCGAGGGGTGCTGTTTTTTATATTTCATCACCTGTTTGAAGTCTGAGGACCGCAGCTGCAGTTCCCTGAGCATTTTCCGCTCCTCCTCTTGCTTGTAAGTCAGGAACCTTCTGGACGCTGCGGTGTGAACGCCACCCAGACGCTGACGGCGAGATGGGGGATCGGTAAATACCCCGGGACGGGAGCGGGGGCGGTGTGTCTGAGCCCCCGTGTGCTGGGCAAGAGGGTGGATCTTTGGGGTCAGACACGCCTGGGTTCAAATCCCAACTCTCCTTCTCACCTCCCGTGAATCTGAAAGACTGGTGTTGACCCACAGGGAAGGGCTCAGGAGCAGCGGCTTCCTCCTGAGCTACACTGGCAGTTATACTCCTAATCGGGGCTTTCAAGTTCGAGAGTTTTGCTACGGAAGCGTGGGAGCCGCTAGCAGACTCGGCCAATGTGAGTCCCTTTGGGGAGACTTCTGTCTCTACTGCTGGCTGTTTGGGAACCTCTGGCTCCCCCTGGGGTAGCTGCCCACCCTCAGGAGGGCCTCCCTGGGCCTAAACTTCAGGGCACTTACTAGGATCTCTTTCTCCAACGGGGAGTATTTCCCAGGGGCGATGCGTGGGTCCAGTGTGTAGAATTTGGTCCATAACCTGGAAGGCGGAGGGACGGGTGCATTAGAGCTCCGGGGAGGGTCTCCCTAGCTCTCCCTTTGGGAGCGGGAAACCTCACAAGGGGTATTCTACGTTAGCCAGCCTAGGGCTACCCTGACCCCGGTTCCTACAGGCACAGGCGGGGCTCCTCCACTTGGCCTTGGTCTGAGATGGAGGGGAAGGAATGGGCAGGAAACACAGCTACACTCACCCCAAAGGTGGAGCAGAGCACTGATCCCCTTGGCAGCACAGGGAGTTATTACTCTTAAAAGACTCGCCTGCGTTTGGTCCTCTGGCTGGCCCTCCATTCTTGCTGGACTTTCCCTCCGCAGTCTTCTGCTCTTGGGCCCTGGGATCTTTGGGCCTCTGTTTTCCGGTCTTCTGGCAGCCCTGCTCCCATTCTCTGATCATACTCTGGGAATAGGCCAGGACGGAAGGTGTCAGTGCCTGGGGTTAATCTTTCTAAGACAGTTTCATGGGAACCCAAGGGACAAGTCACCAACTATTCTTGCATCACAACTGGCCCACTGAGAGCTATTGTGAGGTCTGAGCTCAGGCACCAGGTGGCCTTGGGGTTGTGCTATGTGCGGCGGGAGATGCTCCACCGCGTCGCTGCTGCTGACAAGCCCACGGATACCCCTCGGTTCTCTCGAGATCAAGGCTCAGTCAGCTGGCGTCTCTGTGGAATTCGCTCGCCTCTCCAGGCTCAGCTCCTCAGTCCCGTCGGTGCCACAGTCCATAGTTCTTGACCTTCTCGGCTGCTGTTCTTCCTCCCCCCAAGTCTCAAAGGCCTCTTGCCACCTCGGCCACTTGCTTGCCTTTCAGAACCCAGCTCAACTGGCACCTCCTCTGAGGGTTTCCCGGCAGAAGGGCTCATGCCCGCGTCTGTGTTCTCGCAACACCCCCTGCGTGGAGCCGTGGTGCTTTGCCACCCAGTGACCCGGTTGTGTGACAAGTCTGCTGCCCCTCTGCTCAGAAGCAGGTTCCGGCCGCATCTTATCCATTGCACTCTGGCTGTTCAGCTGGGGACTCGATAAACAGTTGTCCCGGTTCCCTGGACGCCGTCCAGGTTGGATGTCATCCGGGTGGTCCTACCAGGCGCTGGGCTAAGACTCACTGCCTTGCAGTGATCTGTATTTATCTTGCGTATTATGGTCTCTCTCTTTCCACTAGAATGGGAGCTCCAGGGACCCAGGAATTTCATTTATCTCATTTATTGCTATTTTCCCAGCCCGCAGCATGGTCCCTGACACAGAGAAGACACTCAGTAAACATTTGAGGAATGAAAAAAATACTTAGCTAAGCTGGCCCTGTAAAAAAAAAAGGGAACCAAGAGCTCTGGGCCATGGGCGGCCAGATTCACCTCCGCTGGGAGGGGGTCAGGGGAGGGAGCCGGAAATTGAGCTCAAACTACCCTCCGCATGACAGCTGGGCCTCTGAGCTCGGTCTCTGCTCTGGCTGAACCATTTAGGTTGCGGTAGGAGCGTCTCCCCGAAGGCATCGGGGACAAGGCCGTCCCCGGGCAGGAAAATAACACCTGGAGGAAGGGTTCAAACGGGCAGGAGGGAGTGGCTGCCGCTCTCTGGCCTCACTCTCCTCACCTGGACCTCGAAGGGCCCAGCTATCTGTGCAGGTGGTCCCGGCGGCGAGGGGAGGGGGGCCTCTCGCACACGGAGGCTCCGTGCTGCTTGTTTTGTGGTAACTCATCTTGTGGCTCGAGCTTCCGTGCTTCTCCCGGCTGTCCACCTCCCCGAGCAGCGAGCCTGAGCTCTGACGGCTCCAGTCTGGCCTCGACCGTAAGGTTACATGTGGGCTGAAGGGAAGGC